AGAGACATTTCTTCACGTCCCTGTACTTCACCTTATGTAGATTCTCTTTTTAAATCTCCTTTCAGCTTTATTGAAATATAATAGACATAACATTGTGCACAGTTGAAGTGTGTAGGATGTTGTTGATTTGATGCTTTTGTTTGTTGCTGAATGAGAGCTGCCATGGCGGGAGTACTCCATCCATGGTCTGGCTTCATTTATCACATCTTTTTCTGTGGTGAGAGCATTTAAAATCTACTCTCTTCAGAACCTTCAATTCCATCATCTAACTTCACTATGATGATCTCATGTGGGTTCTTTGATGCCAGTTTTAGAGCCTCTGATTAATATCTTTTACTCATTATAGATAGGTACTGATCACCCCTTACATACCAGTTGGGTTATGGGAGGTCCTTAAACTATGAGGACTTGCCTCTCAGTCACGTGGTCTTCACAGTGTCCCCAAAGTCCCCAAATAGATTTAGTCATGTTGATACTATGAAGCCAAGATCTTTGATGTTACCAGTCCTTTCCAGAGTGGGTCAAGACCAGGAATGATGAGTCTGTATTGAGATTCAACCCTTGTTTGCCTCTGTCTACTCATTAAGGCATAAAGGAATGCAATGTATATCAGAAGGGTGCCACCATCAAGGCATTTTCTAGTTAGTGCCAACTTCTCCACATGCCAGTTGTCAAAGTTCTTCCGACATTAGCATCTATAAAACGGTGCAGATATCTGAGTCACCACTGGGGAGGCTGACTTGATCTCCAGTTACAGGGATTATTGAAGTGTTCCTGTAGTTCTCTCTGTGAAAGTAAGATGCGATGTTTATTTTTAAACTAGACATGATTTATAGACATGTATCTCATCGCCTTCCAACTGAATGTGGTAAAGCCACCCAGGCCTGGCTGGGAGGGAGCAGATGGGTATTCCCTGACCCTCTCTCCAGGAGACTCTCTCTTCCCCACCCTCCTTCGTTTCTCCCATAGACAGTCTTCTCTGAAACAAGTTCAAATATCAGCTTCTGTGCCTAAGTGGACAGGGCTTCATGGGACTTGGCCTTAGCCTGTTCCTACTCTTTCCGGTTCCTTGAACCTCATCAAATACCCATGTACTAATTACATGCATTGTGATACTTTTGTATTTTCGGTGGCAAGATATAAACAGAAAAACAAATACAAAGCACACCTTAAAGCTGTTCAATGGCATTTCCGAGGAATATTTTAATCTCCCAGTGTGTCCTTGCCTGGTTTCTTTAAGACCAGGGTTCTCAAAGATCAGCACTCCTTCTAAGCCCTCTTCCAGCTCTGAGGATCAGAAGTCTCACTGGGTAGAAGAAACTTAGGAAATCAGGACTATCAAGCCCGGATTTCCCTTTGCTGCCCAGCCTGCGAAACAGCCGAGTAGCCCTCACTGACTTCATCCCCGCTCTGTGGGCTGGGCTCGGAGTTGATCTGCGTCTCCTTCCTTTGTGTCTTTCTGATTCCATTTTCCACTCTGCTCTCCATGCTGGATCACAGGGATTTATTTAAGTCTGTTCCCAAGTCACTTCCAACCCCCTTGTTTAGCCTCCTGGGATCTTCTGATTTTTTTTTTTTGTGAGAACATGAAAAAAGCATTGTCCAAATAGTACTAGACAAAGCCTCATCATGAAGGAGAAGCCCCCCGTCCCCTCCAAACACAAACACACACACTTACAAACCAGCAGAGAAGTGCAGAAGACTGTTGGTACCCTGTATCCTCGGGATGAGACCCAGGTCTTGGGACTCACCATCTCTGTCTTAGAATTTGAACCCACAGAGAGGAAATAGACTTTATCTGACAAATTCAAATAAACAGTGTTTTGATTTTGACCACCTCCCTGAGGGTATTGGATCTTCTTAGTCAAATTAAGTGTTAAAGTCATATATCACACTTCCTTAATTGGCATCTTCAAAGATTTGTTCAGTTATTAATAATATGCCATCCAGATATTGGAAAATTGAGTACATTTCTGGGATACAAAGCCCTTTGCAAGCCAGTTGCTTTCCAGTTTGTCACCTGAAAGTGAATTGAAGGAAGAACCAATTGAATTGTTAACTATGAGATCATTAAAGTAATATTTGAAGCTGTATTACTATGTGTTTCTTAGTGTGCAAGCTGGAAGGGATTCAAAGATTTGAATGGCATTGCCAAACAAGGTTTTTATTTCCGTTTCCTTGCTTATTATGTGAGCTAAGTGTCTCTCAAAGAAAAAATAGAAGTAGAATTGATCCTAAATTCTATTGCTTCTGGCAGTTATGATATTTATTTATGGCATAAAAAAGCCTTATCTATGCTATAAGAGCTATGTTTCCAGTAAAAGTTTGCTTTTTATATTTAATTATTACTTAATATCATGTTTAGTCAATTTATTTCTATTACTTTATCAATATTATTTCTATAATGATAACTCACCCTAAAATATTATGTAGAGTTATGATCACAGATCATACAGGAAATTTAAATTTACCACAAATATGATAGCTGATCAATAAAATGTTTTCAAGCATAAAATATTAGATTGGGATAAAATCCTGCAGAGGGCATACAGTGGAAACACAAGTTCAAATATGGAATAATGAGAATTTTAGAATTGTTCAAGAAGAACTTACTCAAGGGATTTTGAAAATGAAGAACCATGAGTACCCATTCACTATGATTGTTAAATTCTACTGAACACATCCATCTGATGGAGTACTGTGACATTTTTATTTTAAAATGTGAATATTCTCTATGAGCCAAAAACGTGTGCTTTCCAACTCTAACTTGAATTTTAAAGAAACTAGGTCAACTTAAAATATTTCAAGGTCTACAGAATTGACAAAATGTGAGACAGTTTATTTGTACTTTGTCACAGGGGGAAGTGGGGGTTGTGGGATAGGGGTAGAGGTTGAACCACACCTGGCAGTGCTCAGAGTGTCCTCCTGGCTCTGCACTAAGAGATTACTCCTGGCAGTGCTCAGGGAACCATATGTGGTGGTGGGATCAAACCTGGGTTGAAACATGTGCAAGGCAGTCGCTCTCCCTGCTGTACTGGTCACTCCCTTTCCTCTGTCCCTCTGGGGTGTCGCTGGTTCCTGGACTGTACACTTGAGCTCCAGAATTCTAACAGGGTTTGAGGCCGTATAAAAATGGCATCATTATTAGGAAAGGTTGGACATGAAACATTATCAACCTTGAATTATTTATTTTATCTTAATTTTATGGGCTGGAGCGATAGCACAGCGGGTAGGGCGTCTGCCTTGCACGCAGCCAACATGGCCGACCCGAGTTCGATTCCTCCGCCCCTCTCGGAGAGCCCGGCAAGCTACCGAGAGTATTCGATATGCCAGACACAGTAACAACAAAGTCTCCAATGGAGACGTTACTGGGCCCGCTCGAGCAAATCGACGATCAACGGGAGGGCCTTTACCTTTACCTTATTTTTAAAAACTGGTTTGTGTAAGTATTAATGGTCCTTTAAAGGGGTACAATGATGCCCTGCTGTCCTGCACTGAGTCCATATCCCTGTACCAGCAGACTCTTTTAGTCCCACATTCCACCTGGGTAGACTCAGTCCTGTGGTCAAAACCTAAGGGTTTTCTTTCTCTGTTTCTTTATTCCCCACACATTAGCAAGATCATTTGGCGTTTGTCTTTCTCTTTGTAACATACTGAACTTAGCATGACACCCTCTAGTTCCTTTCTTGTTGGAGCAAAAGGCAAGACTCTCTTTTCTTCTAAGGAGTCTTCCATTGCCACACTTCCTTCATGCACCCGCCTAATGTTGGAAACGTGTGTTGTTTCCAGATCGTGGCTATTGTAAATAGTGCTGCGCTGAACATAAGTATGCATAGTTGAACAAGCATGCATTTCTGCGTTCTTGGGATAAATGCCTAGGAGGGAAATTACTGGTCCATATGGTAGATCTGTTTTATTTTTTTCGATAAATCTCTATAGTGTTTTCCAGAGAGATGAAGCCAGTTTGCGTTCCCTCTCACAGTATGGAAGTGGGAACCCTAATCCATTATTTAAAACAGAGAATGAATACCTGAGTTTATCATTGTATTTTCCTCAGAGAAGTACTTTTGAACATGGGGTTGGGGAGCACAGATGAAGAACTGGGAGGGTTCATTTGAGCCTCAGTCTTTAGGAGGGAGATGGAGGTTGCTGCATGCTGAGAAACTGCAGAAAAGGAAGCAGAGCCCTGAGGTAGGAAAAGCATCCTATATATTGTATATTGGATAGTGCCAAACCTGGAATGGTGGGAAAGAGCCTTCCAATGGCACCTCACCCCAGGATCCAATGGTTAATGCAGCTATCTAGAATCAGCCTTTGACCTTGACCACTAGGACGCAATGGTCACTTCGTTCTCTCTTTGGGGGTTGCGAAGAGTGTGAAAGGGAGGGGTTTTCTTGACCTGATCTCAAGAGGTAGCCATGACCTCCTTAAATGCCAGGACATTTGAAAGTGTATTTTAACAGCCCGTGAATATAAATTGTAATTACAGGTTCGGGGAGGCTTAGGAGTGCAAGGAGATTATCCACACCAGGGAAGTCTGGGGGGGTATGTTTCCCTCTTTGACTGACTCCCAGGGAAGTGTTTGCTCTGTGGCTTATCTGTGACCTATTTGAAATACGGATCCACTTTCCCTTTCTCTCCCCTGTGCCCCAGGGCACATCTCTCACACTGTGGTAAATGTGCTCAAGAAATATAAACTAATTTTCATAGAAGCCTGGGGTGGAAATAAGATGGAAAGCAAATATACTGCCAAGATATTCACAGAACAGGCTCCTAAATCAAATAGAAATGATTTTGTCTCATTGGCTCATTGGAACGAATCAGTCCATGTTACTTATATGTAGGGTGTTTCATCAATAATTGATAATTTCCTTTTCACACTGGGTCGTGTTGTTTGTATTCCTTGAAATACAGTCACCATGTTTATAATATAATCTTTCAACATTTTCTTTCCCCCACCCTCTCCCTTCCCCTCTTCCCCTTGCCCCTCATCCCCATAGGTGTACCATAGATGACAGAGTGACCCGGGTGGCTTGGCTTAACCGCAGCACCATCCTGTATGCCGGGAATGACAAGTGGTCCATAGACCCTCGCGTGATTATCCTGGTCAACACCCCGACCCAGTACAGCATAATGATCCAGAATGTGGATGTGTACGACGAAGGCCCCTACACCTGCTCGGTGCAGACAGACAACCACCCCAAAACCTCCCGGGTCCACCTCATCGTGCAAGGTGAGTCGCACCTGAACTTGGGGGTTAACCAAAGATCATGGGCCAGGTCAACCCTGGAGGGAGAAGCAAAGGGATCTCATCCTTTGCTTCACCTCATTACTAAAGACACAGAGTGTCACATTCTCAGTAACATACGGAGACAGAGCGCCTGTCCCAGCTCACTTCTCCCTCACTGGGTAACTCAGTAAGTGCTTTCTCGAGTGTCTTGATCGCCTGGTGCTGGTTGAATTCTGACTTATTTGGCACCCAGGTATTTCAAGAAGAACTATTAAAACTTGGAGTGTGTGTGTGTGAACTGTTTTTGGATCTTTTGGTGATCTTTCAGAAGCTTTCTGGCAGCAGTCTGGTTCTGTTGTTGGGAATCATGACACTTGTGACTGCTATAGCCATTTGGTGCCCTACCTGCTCTCTGTTCTCCTGAATCAGCACCTTCTGCTGCTGTTCTTATGCTGAGGCTTCTTGTATGACCTGGACTGTATCTTCAGCCTGTGTTGAAAACAAATGTAGACAGTTCCAAAGAAGAAGGGGAATTCTTCATGTCCTCTCCTATTTTTCTTATTTAAAAAAATCAAAATTAGGATATTAAGGGAAATTGTTCAATAATTTTCATAGTTTTCACTTGAATTTTACTTTGTAGGAGAAAAAAATGTGAAGAAATATCCAATTTTTTTTTTTTTTGCTTTTTGGGTCACACCTGGTGACGCACAGGGATTACTCCTGGCTCTGCACTTAGAAGTTACTCCTGGCGGTGCTCAGGGGACCATATGGGATGCTGGGAATCGAACCCGGGTCGGCCGCGTGCAAGGCAAACGCCCTACCCACTGTGCTATCTCTCCAGCCCCAAAATATCCAATTCTTGTATATTTAATATTAAGAATGAAAAACCCATTGACAGGAGAATCTGAGAACCATCTTGAAATAAGGCAGCAAAGCAAACAAACTTTGTTAGGGAAACAATTTTGATTAGAAATTTCTCTACTGAAGCAACTGGGGACGAATTAGCCTGGGTCCCATCCCCAGCGACACGCCTGCAAGTGGCAGTGTTGGTTGAACCTTTCTAACTCTCCATACTGACTAGCTGGGGTCACAGGGAGAGCTCTGGGCAAGATTCCCCCACTGATGATTTTGTCTTTAGAACCTGCCTTTCCCCCCATCCCATCTGTGGTTGATTTTTTTAATGATTGTAAAATGTCTGATATGCTGTTCAACAAATATGGATCCACCCATGCCTTTCTGGAATCTTTTGGTTTTGTTCCTGTCAGTGATTTCATGGTCAGCTGGACTCAGGGTGAGTGGTCCCTTGCACCACTCTCTGGATGGTCCTTGGAGCCTGTGGCAAGACTGACTTTCCTGGCTCAGCCTGTGGGTCCCTGACACTGTGGGCCCTGGAGGTGGCATGTGAAGGCCCAGAGACCCATCTGCTGCTGCCCTGGTCCATGCTGTGTGCCTCATGTCTTTTCCTCACCCCCCGTTCCTCAGTCCCCCACATCAGCCTGCATACCCACTGTCACCAGCTCTGTGCCTGCCCCGCTCAGGCGAGCCAGCTGGGTCACACTCGCTGCTTGGAAGCTCTAAGATGGCCCTACCATCTGGAGACAGAGACAACCGTCGCATCTGAGGCTGCTCCACCGACAACCACGGAGGCCCTGGGGGAGATCAGTCATCGGAGAGGTGCTGTGCTGTGTGTTGAATGTTTCTGGGGAGGCAGAGAAGCAGGCACCGCAGGAGCTGGGGGGGTTCTCACCAACCTCCTGCCACCTGGGCTTAGTTCCAGCAGCGCTGAAATTCTCCATGTTGGAATTGACGCCTACGTGGCACTTCCACACTCCCCAACACACAACCCTGCGGCCTTGGCAGCATAGTTATCTTCAACTTCAGGGAATGCAGTGGGGAAATAGGAAAGAACCAGCAGGCGCTGAGCAGAAATGAATTCAGCAGCTGTAGCGGACCTGGTTTGCAGGAGCTCAGAAGAGACAGAGGGTAGGAGAGCACGTCAGAGTCAAAGTCTGCCATGAGGGCATCTGGGAGGATGTGCCTCTGTGTGCATGTGGGGCATCCTGTGAGCTGGCTAGGGATGAAGGTAGCAGTGGGTTGAGGCTGGAGTGAGTCATCTTCCGGTGAACCTTAAAGGCTTTGGGACATGCTGGGTCAAGTCCTCCATCATCGAAGTCAAAAGACTTTCATAACTTGGGGGGAGGGGCAAGCTGACCTGTGAACTGCAGATACATCAGTTACGGTTGGGCAGTGGGGGGAGGGGTGTGTGTGACACAGCAAGGAAGCCTTTACCTTTCCTGGAGGCTGACAAGAAGAGGTGGGATGCCACCTGGCCTCCTGTCTTAGCCTCGGGTGGCTTTCTTGCTTTTGGAGACCAGTTGGACTGGCAGGGGACCGAAGCCGAGGCCCCACGGCTCCTGAATTCTCCTCCTTCCCCACTGGGCCAGCTTGTGTCCAGCCTGTAGATGCATTTTTCAGTCTTAGTGTTAGTTCAGGTTAGATAAAGATAATGAAAGTTTTCTAATCCTCTTAAAGGAGATTTATCTGACTGAGTCGAAAGCTTTTGGAATACAATAAGGCATGTATAAAACCGAGGCCTAATCTTGCCTTTAATTTCACACTGCTGATGGGTATTGATTTTGCAATGAGAAAAACTAAAAGTTTCCGAGCTGAAACTTGTCTGATGGGTTTTTGTTTTTATTTCGGGGAGGGGTTAAGTTTTTTTCTGTTCATTGGAGAATGTAAGAATCTCTTCCCCTCTGCCCCCCTTCCCCCCTCCCCCCGCCCCCGCAGGGCCCAGAAGAAAAAGGGCAGCAATATCTTGGGATCCCTGTCCCCATGGCCTGACGGGTCTACTCTCTGCCCCCAGCCCAGAGACTTCTTTGAGTGTTTCCTCAGCAGCCTCGTGTCTGGTGGCCTCCACCCTCACATCCTTTATTCTACTCTACTCCTGAATTCCTCCGTCCATCTCCACCTGAAGGGAATCCCTTGGGAGAACTTCTGAGACTGTTGAGTTGAGCCTGTCTGTTGAGATGTTCGGCCGGTTTATGGCTTCAGATTATAGAGCGGTGTCTTGTACGGGAGGGCAAAGGTGTGCTGGAAGCCCAAGGATTGGCCAGAGATTCCAGAACTCCCACCCCTCAGATACTCTGACTATACTGACTGTGGTTCTCCCCAGAGGAATGGCAAGTTTTCTCTGTGAAATACGGTACAAAGGAAAGCAAGAGGTTTTTTTATGCCCAGAGAAGCAGCAAAGAAATCACCCATGAGTTTGGGGAAAGTTGATATGCCGGTTTCCCTCCTAATGATAGGATCCTAGCCTCAGAGAGAAGAGCATGTTTGTCCTGCTTAAGTTTAGGGCACAAGAGCACCCCTGCATCACACAGACAGGATGGAACAAAGGAACAGGTGTAACTGAAGCCGGGAATGGGTCTACTGGAGACTCATCACAAATTCGTGTGTGTGTGTGTGTGTGTGTGTGTGTGTGTGTGTGTGGCGGGGGGCGGGGGCGTGCGTGTGCTGAGATTAACCTTCATGGAGCATAGCCAGAACCATCACTTATTTATATCTTTCCCAGAACAGAGCACACTCTCCTGGGCATTCCTACTCAGCAATCTGCAAGTGTTGTTCCAATCAGAGAGGGAGAGAGAGATGGAGCGTGCAGAGGGGATGCTGACGACGGTAGAGCATGTTCAAGCAGTTGGGGTGGGAGGGAGTTGATCGTTAGCCACCAGACTTGGAGTGGACAGGAATTGGGAGCAATTCCCTGGAGGAGTGGCATGTACAGAGTGACCAGTTGGGAGACAAGTTAGTGTGGGGCCACGTGGACGCTCCAATGTTCACTGACTGCTCCCGGGGCCCACTACTCAGGTAACTCTTAAAGCTCCAGGAGCCCAGGAGGCCAAGTGCCATGACTCTCAGCTCTACATTTTGTACGAGATCTCCATGATTTTTTGAGGTTCCAAGAGCAGTGGGGGTCCACCAGGAGGCAATAGCTGGGATTTTGTGGGAAGTTAGGAGTGAGGCACAGTCAGCAGTGCTCAGGGTCCACTCCTGACTCTGTGCTCAAGGTTCACTCCTGGCAATACTCAGGGGACCATATGTGGTGCCGGGGATTGAATAGGGGTCAACTTCACACAAGGCAAGTGCCCTACCCTCTGTGTTAATTCTCCGTCCCACAGTTGGATCTTGAACCACAGTCATTGTCCCCAATATCTATGTCCCTCCAGCCCCCCACTCCCTGACACATTGAGATTTTGCCTCTTAGCCCCCCTCCTCCCATCCCACACCCCACCACCCACCCACCCACCCCCTACGGATGTTCTAGTTTCTTCTCTCACTTGTCCTCTTTGTCTTTTCCTGTTTCAATACTGCCTTGTACAAACAGGACTTAAGGATAAAGCTCAACTAAGAAAATTGTGGTGATGTTTTGCCACTGCTCCCTGCGAGGCCAGAGAGCAGCACAGGAGAGTTGCTACTAAGCAACTTAGCACAGAAAACTCTGCTCCCTCGGAGAATTGGGGATCAAATTGCCATTCTCATTTGCATGAAGGCTCTAGTCCCCACATGTCCCTGGCATTGGAGGGTCAGCCATTGTCACTTCCTTGTCAACCCTAGGCTGGCAGGAAGGCCTAAGTGAGTCTTTGCTCCTTGGATGTTGATATTTTTTTTGTCTGCTCTCTTGGCTGGTTCAGAAATCTATTTATGGACAGATATTATTTTTCCTGGAAGGATAAAAACAACAACCTTCTTTGCACAGCCCAATTTTATGCAAAGGTCTAGAAATGATGAATTATGCTAATTTCATAAGACTGAGGCATCACACACCGTGTGCTTTGGTCTGCAAAAGGCTTTGGTCTGAAGCCTGGAGTCAGGTCAGGTGAGACTGGCTGGAAACAGGAGCTTGGGTTGACAGTTGATTTGCCGAGTCTGGTTCCAGGCTTCGTGGAGCCCCAGCCGTCTGTGTGGGGAACATATTGAATGAAACTATACAGCAGCTCCTCACC